CCCCAAAACCCCAAAACCCCAAAACCCCAAAACCCCTTATGAATTCTTATTTATTGAAGTTTAGAATTTTATTTGTATTTGTCATAGACTTGATGAACTAGTGCCACTTTACTATTTTGACTCTTGCTTTCATCACTATCATCAGGATTTGTATAGATGCTCACTGGAAGAAGAGGAACCTGCCTGGCTGAACTATTAACAGGTCTTTCTTTCAAAGGCATTCTATTCGATCGTGCCTGAGCCCTTTCTCTAGAAGATCAAAATTTAGCTGAATTTACAGATTTAATATTACAATTGATGGCTAATGTCGATGCTAATCTAGTTCACTTAAAAATAGACAACATGTATAAAATATCGACAGATTTTATTCAGATGTTTTGCACTCAGATTCACAGGCAATTATGAATTAAAACTGCAATAAATATTATACCTAATTTTATAAGAAGATAATCAAATGTTTCTTTTCTGCAAAATATTATTATAAGAATTTCTCCATAAAACCGGATTTAGCACCAGCTTTGTACTCTGATTAAGGCTTACCCTAATGTGCTATGAAGCTCCTTTATGTAATTCTGAAGTTTTTGTATCTTTTCTATTTGCAATCTGTTATTAATATCGACATCCTTCATTTGAGCCTCGAGAAGAACAGCATTCGTTCTCTTATACTCATCAATATCTGAATTAAATTTTTTGATTTTTATCTTAAGCTCTTCTGATTCTTCCTGGTGTACCTTAATCTGGTGAGTTTTTGAGTTAAGTTTCTTCTTCAAGGTTTCAATTTCTTTAGAGTATACCTTGTTTAAATTCTCAAGGTCTTTGCATTTATTTTAATAGCTTCTTCTTTTCAGTCTTAAATTTGTCTGAGTTATTTTGATACACTACTTTTTCTACCCTTCATCGCTATTGCCATTGCTTTGGGCAGATCAGCTATAGTTTATGTAATTACGAGTATCTTAGAAGACTAATGAATCTCTTTATGGTTTATATATTGAATTTATTCAGAAATTTGAATGAACTGAGAGAAGATCGCATAAGTTTAGTTTCTGCCAAATTACGATTTTCTCTAGCTTTAGCTCAAATACTTTTGACAGCGCTTATCATGTATAAATTTGGCTTACATAATTCCTTATTCTTCTGTTCGTAAAAGTTAACTTTAAACTCAAGTTCTTTATTCTTTTGCTGTAGCTTATTGATCTTCTTAACATAAGCCTTTCATTTGTTTTTATACAGCTTGTATTTCTTTGTGTCCTTTGGTATGCTTATTCTTTCTTGGTCTAATTCAAATGTATTTTGATTACCACCTCCTATGCTCATTGGGTTAACATTAGACATCATTGATTCTGTCATTCTTGGGTTTCATAACGAATGAGGTGAATAAATACTATCGCAAGTCGGATTTTTCATTGCTTTTGAGAGATCACTGCTAGTCTTAAAAGGAATATGCATCTGATCTGGGAGTTCAGCTTGGTAAGTGTTCTCTCATTGAAGATTGGGACTTTTGAATGGCAAGATGTAGTCATGTTTAGTGTTTATGAATATATCTCTAAAAATTAGCTTAAACTTACTTTTCCTCCTGATATTGATGGAATATAGGCTTTTCTTTAGGTGTAAGAGGCTTATGATAGCTCACATTAAGACTTTGTTTTCTGTCATTTACAGTATGATTATTTTCTCTGCAGAGAATTCATCCTGGTTTTCTTCATCAAATTATTTATGCGTTGTCATAAGTCCTGACTATCGTCCCTTCCTGATCTATCATTCCTAATAGAGCTACCTTCCTCATCAGAGTCAGTGATATATCATCAATTTTCTTGATTATGGGTCAAAAAGTTATTTTCTTTATCACTAACATCCATCATCGGACACTGGATTCTTTGAGAATTCAAGAATGTCTTGCCTATAAGGTTGGTCTAAATTACCATTCTGGCTTTGTTATTAAAAGGCTTTTCCATTGAAAGGATCCGGTTGGATAGCGTTTTGGGCATTTTTTCAGAGTCCATTTATGCTAAATTCAAGTAATTTAAATTTTCAAAATATTATAAAGAAACCGGGGTTTTGGGGTTTTGGGGTTTTGGGGTTTTGGGG